ATATACTTATCCGGCCACACACTGAAACACTTTGAAGCGTTTCAAAACAAAGAAAAACTTTCACAAACGACACCCTGGCGCGGCATTAAGTTTTTATATTCCCCTTGGTCTGAGCGGATCCTCCTCTTGGCTGATTTTTTATACGTCTGTAGACATACGTATAAGGGTGTTTGGGTGTGTAATTAAACGTGAGCTCATAATGAATTTAATGCTTAAGCGAACAGCGTACGCGGCGTATGCGCAATGCCCGTGCACTTTCAGCTAATCCACCGCTGAGCGCTAAGTGCGAGCGTATAATCAAATTGATGTCAAATGAAAGCGTAAGCGGACCTAGCGGAGCGGGTCGAAGCATAAGATACCCTTTCAGATGCACCGTTATATGTAATATCTGCTATGTTTAAATCGGAAATCAACAACAGACGGAGGAAACAGCAACAGCGCTGTTAACACCGCAGGTTAACAGCGCTCTCATCATTCATGGGCCGTTACACCGATCGATAACAGCATGTTAACATGTTACCATGCGAAAACCTGCTGTTGCTCTAAGCAATGGAGATCATAATTGAATCATCGGAATATTCCCTGCAAGAGGGTATTACAATTACGGTCAAACATATGAGAGAAGTGCTAAGTGAAGGTGGCTCTCTGTCAGAGAGTGAAGAGAGAGTGTAAAGCGAGGAGACGGTGGGAGGCTAGGATGTATGGGCAAGGGTGTAATCTGCAGCAATTTTACATTGCTCGCATTTCGCATTTGCCTGGCCCTCCCCCCCTTGCAACTCCAGCCTCTGCTGCTCTCCTCGTCCATGCAAAGTTATTTAAATTAAATTCCAGTCACAGCTTCAGTCTTTGGCACCCCTGCTAAACCCCCGCCCACACGTACACATCAAAGTTTGGCTGAGCATTTCGCTTGGTTTTCCTTCGTTTTTTCAAACCCACCCCACACCACCCGCACTCCCTCCCCGTCAAAGACAATTAAATGTCAGAGAATGACCGTGACTCGTGTTCGGCTTTTTTGCTCTTCCGCAGCAGTCCTAGCTGCGCCAATGAGAGAGCTATGCGGGACAAGTTTGACATATTGTCGGAGTCGGTTGAAAACTATAAAAATGCATTGGATTGCACTCGCAGTACACGCTGTCGTTGTTCCTTCTTTTTTGTTTGTGTGCCTCCCCGTGTTGTCAGGCACTTCGGAGGATGTTAATTGCTCTGCCGTGGCAATTTGTCAGGCGACGTTGCAAAGTGTTGACAACAGTTCGCTCAAAGGGGTGCAGGAAAGGGGAAAGACACACAGTAGAACTGATGGCAAAAGTCTCACCTAGAATCAACGAGATGTGTAACCCAGAAACCCTTGAAGACAGTCAGATAATATCTATACATCCTGGAACATTTTTCCCACATTTCCATCAAAAGTAAGTTTCCCCCTAAGGCCATGGATTATTCATACTCTTGACAGTCTTTCGAATAGTTTAAGCCACGTTAATCATATTTTGTAGTGCCACTAAACGTTGCCTACTTTTTGGGGTCAACTCTGGTTGGAAACCCTGTCCATTTCGCAGTCGCGTTTGCTAGGACGAGTACCGTTGCTCTCTCCTATCAGCACATGCATGCGTCGCTCAACAACTGACTTGTCACTCTCTGTCCCTCCGCCGTAATTTATGCTCTCTTCTCTGTTTCGTTTTTTATGTCTTCCTGTGGGGGGTAGGGGCATGTCCTTTCCTTTGAGAGGATATGAAATTTAAGCCGGCTGAAACAATGTAGAAACCATAATTTATGCTCCAAATACCACGATCTACTGTTGGAAAAGAAACCACAATTTAAGAGGAAATTTTGCGGCTAATTAATGCATTTTTGAGCGGTTCCCCACTCGCTGCTTCTTTTACGAGGGGATTAAAGAATTCTGAAAAGGTTTTTCTGCTGCTGTAAACTCATATAAATAGCCCACAAATAACGTTCAGCTCCCGCTGGCATTCATTTGCATAATTAGCCACCGAAAGACCGGCACAGGAAAAGAAAACCAAGTCATGTTTGTATAAATTTATGCATTGTCCCCGCAAAAGTTCGGGGAGCCAGACCAATGGAATTTAATTATGGCTAAAATTAGTGGCTACATCCTCCTTGTTGGATACCCATAATGAGATACATGCTGGTCGCCAAATAGTTGGGGTATATGCGGGCCTAGATCGGATTCACCACAGCAGGAATGCAACCGCAAACGAGAATATTATGGAGGAGGAAGTCCACACACAGATATCGAACGGAACAGAGAACAGAGCCAAGCAGGTATCCCCCATGGAAATAATAGATAAATGCTGCAGCAATAAATGACAGTAACTAGTGCAATAACAATCACAAACAATGAATGGGTCGGAGGGCACTTGGGCAAGTCGAGGGATGTGATACACTACGAAAGTTGGATGGCAGCACATTTGTTGCGCTCTCTTCAGATCAGAGCAGAGGCAAAGGACTGCCCTTCGAAAGAGTATCCCCACACACACACACGCACACGCACACACACAATGGGGCCAGCGGAAATGGAGAGCGAGGCGAAACAATCGCGCAGAATACAATACGTACATGAATGCACATGTGCCTCTGTGTGTGTGCTCTTTGTGGCGATGGATGCACGTAAAAGGAATAAAACGAAACACACACATAACGAATGCGCGTATAAATACTTTCTCTCAGCGCGTGCTCTGGGTTGATTTTGAATATGCAAATGCCACTCGCAACAACATGGCAACGTGGTGGCAAATATAAATATGTTTAGCGAATAAATGCGAATGCAAACGAGCAGCCGAAGCCGGAAGATGCAACTGCCTTACCGGAAATAGACGCCGGGCGTGCGCTGGTCAATATCCGAGGGATAGATGCGGCCCACACGGCACTTGCTGAAGAAGATGCCAATGAAGGAGGGATCCCGCTTGGTGGGCCAGTCCTTAATGGGGAACACCAGGGGATACGTAAGGTACTCTGGGGGATCGGAGAACTCCAAATAACCATTTAGGGAGAGCTGAAAGGATCAAAGGCGGGTTTAAATAAGAGTTTGAATCGAGTTTAGGGACTGTCTTACCCTGGTATAATTGAACCTGAAGCCGTAGAAAGGCAGCTGGAAGTTCAGATTCTTGTGGAGCTGTGTCATCGAGGCATGGATATCGAACTGATAGTCGGCGCGGCCGCCATACATATCCTTGTCGAAGTACCAGTACATGAAGGTGTTTCGCAGCTCCGCGAGACGAGCCGTGGTGATCGTATAGCCTCCGGCTGCCGTTGAGGCCGTACTCGGTGGGGCAACGTTATTGTTGGGATCTGGAAGAGAAAATACATCAGATATAGAAGGATTTCCAACACAAAATATCTCCAATTTCGTAGAGCAACCCCTCGCCGCCTCTCATTACAATTTCACACATAATCCCAGGAGATTACTTTTTCAATTCCCCAGTATTACTCGTATCTACTCGACTACTTTGCTAGAGGTGCATTCCATAAACTGTAAGGAAAACTTTGCCATCTTCGCTTTGCTTTTCTTTTTTGATACTCCTTCCTGCTGCTTCCGTCGGCTGCTGCATCTTGGCCCTCTCCGTGCCCTGCCGTGCCGTGCCGTGCCGTGCCGTGCCGTGCCGTACCATGCCGTGCACTGGGCCATTAAAGGTCACAGTTAATATTCATTTCTGCTTCTCTTCTGTGGCTCCTCCTTTTCTCTAATTTCTTTTTGCCACTTGCCCCCTGCAGCCTGAAGCCTGCCGCCTGCCGCTGGCCTTTTAAAGCAATTTAAGCTGATTAAGTGCAAAGCTGCCGGTCCCAATGGACACGGTAGCAGGAAGGACCCAAACCAGTGCCAGGACCAGCAGCAGGCTTAAAGCTATTGCTCTTGACGCTAACCAGAAGACTGGCAAATTGCAAGCGAAGTTTCGGCCAGAGGGAGACCAGACCGAGCAGAGTCCTGGCAAAGATTTTCAAAATATTTCTGGCATCTCGAAGGAAAGCTGGGGTTTTCCCGGTTAACCGTTGAGGGGAGTGCCAACGGCTACAGAGGACTTTTAAATTTGTGTCGCTTTAAGGTCAGTTTCAAGCTATGTAAACATGTCCATCAATTAATTCTTTATTTTCACTCCCCTCTCTTTTGAATATTAATTGAATATTCCATATTGAAGCTTTACGCTTTAATTAGAGGTACTTTGGCAGAAGGTTGTGCAAGGGAAACAAGGACACATTGTGGATAAACCCTCATCCTCAGCATCATCGTACTCGCATTATCATATCGATGGCATATTTATTCCTTCATTTCGATTCGTTGTAATGCGAATCTTTCAACCTTTTTAAAGCAGATTTACACTTCATTTATAATTATATTCATACTCTCCAATTAATCTCTCTGCGACCATCCCTGCTCTCCAGCTGTCCATTACCCAATGCCGAGTGAATTATTGGCTATTAAATGGCACATATTGTGATGGAAATTACACGGCTAACGGACAGTCGCTGAGGATCATGGAAACCCAGAGATAGAAGACAGAAGAGCGGATTTATCTAGAATCTTCCTTTTTTGCCCTTGAATCTGTGGAACATCTGTCGCACAATGGCAGCAGCGTTCTTTTTAATCTATTTATGAATCAATGCCTGCAGCCGGGAGATAGATCATAAAGTACGCTAATCCTTTAAGGGTCCGCGGATTAAGAGCAGACGCTGCCTCCATTTTGGGATGCGTGAAAATTGGTGCGCGGAAAACACGTAAAATTCGCGTGTGCGGGTTGCGCTTCCACGGAAATTGGGTGCCATATATCTTTTTTATGGATTTGGCTTAGGTAGATTCCTGGAACTCTCCGAATAGCGAGTCAAGTAGGGAAGGATTTTGTAGAGCGACGGCAACCGCATCGTAATGGTGGGTCCCTCTACCTGGTTTTGGCTGCTGTCGGCCGACCAGGTAGGAGCTTGCAGCCGCTTCTTTTTGCCATATAAGCCCCGGCACTGGTGTGTCCTGGCACAGTCTGCTACCAAACCTCAACATGAGCATCAGCACTTTCAACTTCCAGTTCTACAACTACAAAATGCCTGCGGCTATGGGCTGCAGCACGTCGCGCTCTTCATCGTCGTTCATCAGCGAGCTGGAAATGGACATTGATGAGGAGATGTCCTCGCCGGCCGTCACCTCCACGCCCAAGCCGCGCTTCACCACGGAACTGGCCCTCCAGCTGCAGCGCGAGTCCCCGCAAACTCCGGCAAAGACCACACTCCCTGGCCTCAGGCCTCAACTTCACACGCCCCAGAAGCGCTGGTCCATGGAGCTGCGCGAGAAGGTCCTGGAAATGTCCAAGCGCAACAACGGCTCCGATGGGGAGGAGCAACAACCACAGACCACAGAGCAGGAACAGCCACAGCAACAGCAACAAAAACAGCTGCAGCAGGAACAGGAAAAGTCAGGGCAGCACAACGGGGACCCTAATGTGGCCCCGACTGTCACTGACAAAATTAACTTCTTCAACAAGCTGACCAACACCTTCGAGTCCACACGGAGCGGAGCCACCGCCACCGGCACCGGCACCGCCAACAGCAGCAAATGCCATAACAACAATCGCTTCATTTCCCTGCTGCGCTCCACTCGGCCACAGGGCATTGCCACCACAAGCTCCTCCAACAACAGCAGCCTCAGTGGCACCTCCGTCCTCAGCCAAGTGCCGCCCCCGAAGCCCAAGCGCTTGATGGCCACCGCCCCGCCCGGCTCCACATTCGCCATGCCCTCGTCGATGGGCATGGGCGGCAGCCAGCGCAAGAGCTCGCTGCGGCGGAAGCCCTCCATGGACAAGTCGAGGGCCACGATTTCGCGCCAGAACTCGAGCGCCTCGGTGCGGCCCCAGCACCATGCCATCATGGAGGATCTCAGCCTCGTGGTGCCCGTCCGACTGCGCATCGCCGAGTACGAGCAACGCATCTCCATGAGTGCCTAGAAGAGCTCTATGTGGACCTATGTGGGAGGAGGAGTGGCCTGTGCAAAATGATGGTTCCCAAGGATAACCCTAGTTGTAATCTATCCAAATAGTTCTGTAGCTCTAAGTTAGATGTAACTTTTAAAGAACAATACATACATATATACATAAAAAACACCTAAAGAAAAACGTTTTCCTGTTGAGCGATATTGATAAACAGTCGATAGGTGCAAGATGCTTCTTTTAAGAGGAACGGAATACTCTCGAAGATTTTTACATTCTTTCCTCTAAGGCATAGTCCCATTGTCCTCCAGCATATCAGCCCTTGCCTGAGGAAATATTTTCCCACACGCAAATCCCCACCACGTAATCACAGTCGAACAAAGAAAGAACTCTGACTAACAGTGAAGGCATTCCATTCCATTCCACTACCACTACCACTACCAATACCAATAACCATTCCGTCCATCCTGAGAGCGAGTGATAAATAAAGTTCCATTGTAATATGCGACCCGATTGCGATTCAACACACCTGTACAGGGCTATAAACTGATTCATGCTTGGGCAATAGAATGTATCCTCCTCAGCTCTCCCTCTGCTCTCTCTGCATATATGTACATATATACTATCTCCACCCTACACCCACCACGCACTTGTTTTGTTTGCAGAGCCAAAAGGTGGAAGCAGAAAACAAGAAAATCGTTGGCTTTTAATGCCTCAACTCGGGGCATTATCTTATCGCAGGGAAAAGAGGGAGACACAGCCACAGAAAGAGAGGGAGGGAGAGCGGGAGAGCGGTAGAGCTTACAGCACCTGCCCGAACAAGTTATCGACGAGCAAATATTGGTAACTAAACCAAACTGAGGCGCTGATAAGATAGCCGCCAACAGATGAGTAATGGAATCAGGGACAACTCACCCCAATTGTAGCCACTGGAGTCCACATCGTACAGCTCTCCCAAATAGTCGGATGGCATAACCAACGCCCCGGACATGGGCTGGGGCTTCAGGCCGGCCACGGTCAATATATCGTCGGTGCCCCGGCTGGACAGCACTGGTATCATCCGCTGTCCAACCTGACCAGCTCCCAGGGGAGCCTTTGTGGTGGCAACGATTGCAGGTGGTTTCGGTTTGGGGTTCGGCTTCGCTGCTGGTGGCTCCACCTTTTTGGGCTGCTCTTTTAGGATCTCCACGAATTCTGCATCCTTTTGAGGCACCTTTTTCGCGGCTGCTGCAGGCACCGACACAGGCACTGCATTCAGTACCTCATCCTCCAGCTCCGTGGAGATGTTCTCGTTGGCCAGGACATAGGCCATGAAGCCACAGGCCAGCGCACAAACCACAAACAGTTTGAAGCGCATTTTCACTTAGTTTTTCGTTCGATTATTCGTTCGTTTGTTTTTTGTTTTTCTCGGCACTGGAAAATAGGGATACAAACACAAAATATTAGCACTTTAACGATGGGTTTTCTTGCAGTTTTTCACTGATTTTTAAGAATTTTCACTTGATGACATCATCAGTATCAGTCAGAGCCTTATCAGCTCTCTTATCACTTTGCAGCACTTGTCGTTATTCAATTACCAGGCAGAAAAACACGTTCGATCCGGGTCCACGCTCAGCTAAGACTGAACCGATCGGGGCGTTGCCAAAACTGGCTCACCTGTCGCTCGATTGTGAAACCCGGGTATCTCTCTCTTTGGGAGTCATATCATATCTTATCAGGGAAACTTACGCACTGATAACACGCATTCCTTCTTCTCTTTTGGCCTGAACTTTGGTTTTGGTTAGGGCTTTAGCACACACATACCTATGCATCTTATATATCTTATTCTCTCTGACTCTCTGGGGATTGTGCAAGTTTTTGAATTACCAAATTATTTGTTTATTCCCTTCCACACTCTTTTTGTCTCTCTCTCTCTCTGTTGACTGTGGTCTCTACTGCCATTTGTGATTCATTTCCATTACAGTTAATCACACTTTGGGTTCGTCATGACGCGGCCATTTTGTGGTCCCTTCCTACAAGAGTATATACATACATACATATGAACACTTCCCGTTATAATTATAGACAATGACCCATTACTCGCTCGTCAAACGGCATTTCCGCTGCAGCTTAAGTTTTATGAATGGTGGTGTACGGTCTACGGTCTATGTAGATTGATTTCATTGGGGCATGAAAATGTCAGGGTCTTCATTGTGGAAGATCCATAAACGTGAGGAATGTGTGTGGGAGGGCTTTGGAGTAGATTATAAATTCGAGGGTAAATGTGAAAGTTTTCATTCTAGAGTTCTTTAAGGAAGAACTCAAGACAAAATTTGGAATTTAAATTTACAATTCAGTGAAATGGAAATAGTTTTAAAAATACCTATGCGCATTACCAGTACACCAATGCGAGACGTATGAATATACAAAATGTATTCAATTGTATTCCTTTTTGTATAGACACTACATTTGCTATATAATTAATAAGAAATTAGTCCAAAGAGAGAAAATTTAAAAAAAACCAACAAAATTGTAACTATTTTTATTTCACGACACATTTTTCATAGTTAGTAAACCCCCTTTTTAGCTCCCACAAAACTATCAATTAATGACCAGTGAACATAGTGCATTATCAGCTTTGCTGTGGTGCCCCGATAAGAAATACTTTCGACATACATGCCGTTAGTCGTGTTTTAGGTCTCATTACCGTGGCGTTCAGAATCGTGGCATATAAACTATGTACATCTTCCATTTTACAGGTGGTGGAGACACCTGGCGACAACAGCTGTTAGCATCAGCATGTTAACTAACATAACCTGTACGAGATAACAGCGATCGAACAGAAAGCTACCGGAAAGCTTTTGCACTCTGGCATACTATCACTTCCATTCTTGCTCTCTCGCTCTCTATCTCTTCTCAAAAACACATTGCTCTCCACTCTCACGCACTATCACTCTCACTCTCTCTTAGTTTGCTTATCAGCACACTGGAATACTACTCTGTGGGGGTCCGGGCTTCACAATGAATCCCATCCAATTTCAGTTCTTAGTCGAACGGCAACCGGCGGCGGCTTTTCAATCCCGTATTCATCAAGTGATACGCTCCCCGTTTAATCAATGAAAATGCTACGTTGCTTTTCGCACGCGGAGACCAGATTCGCGGCCCTGCTCTTCGCGCAGACACGCCCACAGCGGTGCTATCACAGCGAAAAGGGCGTCTGGGGTTATAAACCGATTCCCAAGCGCGACTATCAAGGTAATCTCCAGTGCCGGTTCACAAGTGTTGCCAAGACTTCAATTATAAAAGTTCCATTCATCCGTGTAAATAACCATCGCATCGATAAGGTTAACCAATACCTCTTTCAACAAAATCAAACAAACAAAAGAGCAGTGGGAATTTACACAAAAACTAAAGAGAAAACTCTTTGCTTGACCGCTCCCCCTGTCCAGAAACCAGTGAGAGCACAACAGCTGACCCAAAATAAACCTCAAAACAATAAGAAAAACAGCAGGGAGAGAGCAGAAAAACAATAAGAAAGAAAACATAGATAGGGGAAAAAGAAAGATCAAAGACAAATTGCTGTGGGTGAACGCAAAAACCAGAACCAAAAGTCAAACAAAAACTCTATCTCAAACTCAATCTTTTGTGGTGGCTGCAAGTGCACATCGAACATGTTGGTCCACACTCTGTAATATATGTACATATGTACACAAAGCTTGTGCTCTGTTAACAAAAAAAAAAAACGACATCTTACTGCTGCTTTTTCCTGCTAATCTTTCTCTATCGCGTGTTCCCACTTTAACAAATTTCCGCCTGCAAAAGCAAAAACTTTAAGGAGAAATCAAACACAAACACAGCTTCAGCTGCAGCTGACCATCGAACATGCTCGACGCAACCTGTTGGAGTAATCTCTGTAATTTATTGTCGGTGCCTCCGTTTATACGACTCCTGCGGGCTGGCTAGTGGAATATTTCTTCGGTGGTTTTTTGTGTGTTTTTACTAGTGGAATATTTGTACCCGGTAATCTTTAGAGCGCCAGGGGTATATTGTATTACTTTGGAACAGCTTTCAACCAAATAATGTGTGTACCTTCTAATGAAAGCTACTACGGTTTCAAATCCCCGAATAGGTGGCCCTTATATCAGACTACAGAACATTTTCCTCTAATTTTCTGTATAAACTCGAATGAAATATTCTTCTTAATGGACTCTTAGCAGCCCCTTTTTAAAAGGTATTCATATGGACTCAATTTGAACTCGATTTCTGGTACTTTATGCTTTTCCTGTGTTACCTAGCACTCCTAATCTTTGGGGTATGGGGCTTATCACATGTTTTCACTGATGTGAAATCTGATAAACTTGAGAATATATAGGCAGCGCTGGCTATTAGAGCAGGAGGCTATTTAGAGCTGCTAAAGATTATAAAGGCCCCCTAGGGTCTCCCTATCAAACTGCACTAATTAAGAGAAGACAAGAGAGGAAACTGCTCCACCCAGCAGATAGAGCCCCAACCTCTATCCTCGCACCGGGGTGTCTCTACGGCCGGACAACGAACAAAAGAAGTGCCCGAAAAATTGGAACTCTTTTGTGACTCGTCCTGCATCCGTTGCGAACACAATTGAGGGCTTATCGAGACCCCGGCCAGCAGTGCTCCTCCTGGATCCAGCTTCTGCGTTAGCCTCCTCATTTGACTGGCGACTGAAACAAAGAGACAAGACTTTCCATTGCCCGAGACTCTGCTCTGGCAGCTCCTGCTGGCTTTGGTCTGTTTCTGCCGCCGTGTCCGGTTTAATTCACTTGACAGCCACCACCCCTGCCACCACCCCAGCCCCTCCGTCAGGACTCCGGGATGGATCTCACTGTTCGTCATTTGTCCTTGTTCGCTTGCATATCCGTCAGCAAGGCCATTATCCTTTGGCTCTTGAGGCGCCACTCCAATAATATTTGCACGCCCAAGTTGAAATGTTGTCGCCGCAAATATTCATTCATCATTCGTCGTGCTCCTGTCCGGTTCTCGCCCACATTAAATTGATTTATCACCGAAATGTTGTGTGCAAATTGCATAAATTTCTGTAGGAAATTCAAACGCCAGCTGACGACGACCCCACGAAGGTGGGGATGAGCCCAAGGGGTCCTGCAACCTATGACTGCCTCTGCGGAGGGGTCCTGTAAACCCACGACTCGGGGCTAAAAAGAGGGTCCTGTAATCGAGTGATATGCGTCATCGCATAAATCCTCTAAGCAGGATAACACTTTGGCACGTAAACACCTAAACAGCCAACGAGTTGTCAATGGCCCAACCAGAGAATAAAATGGCAAAAAAAACCAAAAAACAGAAGGGAACCAATAAAAACAACCATTGCCATTTCTCATCCGTAACGGGTATTGGTTCTTCCAGGAAAATAAACGAATTTGATATGCCCTAAATAGAGAACAGGATAGAACACTCTTCAAAAGAAGCGCCACAGCAGGAAAATAAGGGGATCGAAAGATCTCACTTCTGTGGAAGAAAGCATTCTGTTGCTAAACACTTTGAAGGACTTTATTGAGTCAGAGATTCTATTCTGCCGTTACCTTACCATCATTCTCTGTGCAACGTCTTGATTGAGCTTCCGACGTTTCCTAGATAGGCAAATGTTCTCCCACTTCCACTTCCCCACCCCATTCCACATTGTTACTCCTTACATTCAGATCCATATCGAAGCCATATTTACCGAGCAAACACCATTCGAAAGTACACAGACCCAATCGTCCAACAGTCCATCAAAATGAAGCTAAGCGTGAAAAGCAAAAGAATAAATATCATAAAAGTAAAAGGCCAATAAATTCAAAAGGCCGCTTACAGTTGGCGGTACAGTTGGGCGAGGTACGAGCGGGAGCTGCGCGTGAATCCTTTTTTAAATAATTTATAACGTGGGGGGAAATTTATATTGTTTACGCATGTGTTCGCAGTGGCCGAGGAGGTGCGGGCGGCGCGGAACGCACAGGCCAACGTCTACCGTCTGGTGGAAGCCTTCCGCCAGCACGGACACAAATTGGCAACCGTAAATCCCATCAGCATCAAAGCGCCAGTGGCCACTGGCCAGAGGTGGGTCTACTGTACGCCTCCTTCTGCCAAATGTCATAATTTATTTTTTGTTCCCTCTGGTTTCTCCTTCTTTGTATTGTCACACGATGTCCTGGTTCTGGTTCTGGCCGTGTGTTTGTCTCTGCTTTTATGGCCCTGGCAGTGGGACAGAGGAGCTCCAGGAATTAAGTCCCGCATTTTATGGACTGCAGACACAGGAGACGGTGCGCACCGCTGGCCTCTTAAGTAGTCCGCAGATGGCCCAGGACGTGGCCCAACTGGAACAGCTGCTCAAGGACATTTACTGCGGCAGTGCAGTCAGCGCCGAGTTCTCCTATGTCGAGGTAAGTGCCCTTCAGCCAGCCCCGACCCTCCTGAAATCCCAACACCACTTTCCTTATGGAGAGTACGCTGACCGAATACTGATCCCCACAGAACCTGGAGGAGCGCGAGTGGCTGGCCAGGAACTTCGAGTCGCTGGAACAGCAGCACCAGCTGCCCGACACCGAGCGTCGCGAAATCGCCGAGCTCTTAATTAAGTCGCAGGCCTGGGATAATTTCATGGCCCTCAAGTTTCCCACCGTCAAGCGCTACGGCGGCGAAGGAGCCGAGTCCATGCTGGCCTTCTTCTGGCAGCTCCTGCGCGACAGTGTCCAAGGTGAGTCCAAGACTGTAAAGTGTGGAGCGGAACTGGGACCTAAGAGCTGGGAGAGTGTTTGTTCTGCTACTGAAACCCGATTAGCGAGACAGAATATCGCGCACCCTACTCAATGTTCTGGAACTTTTGTGGCCTGACAGCCCAGGGAGGTGACAGAGAGATATCCCGAAAATCTGTTCGGAGATGTGCACCCCGCGACACATGAACAGGGAAGCCGAATGGGAGTCTAACTTTTGAAAGTATTGCTGCTGCTTGCCGCTCTTTATGTGCCGCGAAGTGTAGCGAAACTTTCGTGCCGTGTCACGCCCTCACACCTGATATAACCCCAGCCCCCTATCGGCCTTTCAGGGCTGCTCACATATCAGCGCACGCTTACTTAACCCTAATCTGCTTTGCCCCGAAACTTTTCCTTCTTCCACATGCAACCGCCGACACCCAACCCCATCGGCAACAGCGAATATCGAGCACGTGGTGCTGGCGATGCCCCACAGAGGACGAACACCGCTGCAGGCGGCGCTCCTCAACATGCGGCCGGCGAAAGTTTTCCGCAAGCTCAGCGGCGCATCGGAGTTCAGCGAGGACATCGAGGCCATGTCGGACGTCATAAGTCATTTCCGTAAGTGGAACTTTTCCGCCATACGGCACACACGGCACACCCGGACCCCCCGTCGTATGCGTAATTTAATCAAATTCAAAACACCGAATCCCTTTGCCCCTTGCAGATGTTTCCGAGCAGCTGGAGGTGCTGGGCAGGCCGCTGAACTTCAGCATGGTGCGCAATCCCTCACATCTGGAGGTAAGCCGACAGCTCTCAGACAGCAACACGCCGCAAAGTTTGTAATTTCATCTTTGAATCCTTCAAATCGTGAATCCAGGCTGCCAATCCCGTGGCGATGGGCAAGGCCCGCTCCAAACAGCAGACACGGGGGGACGGCGCCTTCGGCCCTGACAGTCAGCCCTTTGGCCAACACGTGCTCAACGTAATCCTGCACGGCGATGCGGCCTTTGCCGGCCAGGGCATCAACCAGGAGTGCCTCAACATGGCCTATGTGCCGCACTTTGAGGTGGGCGGCAGCCTTCACTTGATTGTCAACAACCAGGTGGGCTTCACAACGCCCGGAGACCGCGGTCGGTCCACGGCCTACACCTCCGACCTGGCCAAGTCCATTCAGGCTCCCGTTTTCCATGTCAATGGAGACGATCCCGAGGCTTTGGCGCGCATCAGTAAGCTCGCTTTCCGATACCAGCGAGAGTTCCGCAAGGACATCTTCATCGATCTCAACTGCTTCCGTCGTTGGGGCCACAACGAGCTGGACGACCCCACCTTCACCAATCCGCTGGTCTATCAGATTGTCCATCAGCGACAGTCGGTGCCAGATCTGTATGTACAGCGGCTGGCCAAAGAGGAGGTTCTGTCGGAGTCTCAGGCCAAGGAGATGAGGGACAACTACATGAAATATCTGGGCGAGGAGCTGGCCTTGGCTCCCAGCTATCAGCCGCCGCCCACGTACTTCGAGAAGCAATGGGCAGGCCTCCAGTTGGCCCCGTCCAAGGAGCTCACGTACTGGGACACGGGTGTGGATTACGGACTACTGCATTTTATAGGACAACAGAGCGTGAGCTATCCCGCAGATTTTGTGAGTTTAACTGAAGGATTGGGTCCATCTATAGGGCTGATCTATAGGGCTTACCCTTTCCTCTTCCAGAACATCCATCCACATCTACAGAAGACCTTTGTGAATGCTCGTCTGAAAAAGCTGGAGGCAGGATCGAAAATCGATTGGGCCACTGCTGAGGCCTTGGCTCTGGGCAGCCTCATGTACCAGGGCCACAATATCCGCATCAGTGGCGAGGATGTGGGGCGCGGCACCTTCTCCCACCGCCACGCGATGCTGGTGGACCAAAAGACCAACGAGATGTTCATTCCTTTGAACAGCATGGAGGGCGGCAACGGCGGCAAACTGGAGCTGGCACACAGCATTCTGTCGGAGGAGGCGGTGCTGGGCTTCGAGTACGGCATGGCCATCGACAATCCCCAGAACCTGATCATCTGGGAGGCCCAATTCGGCGACTTTGCGAATGGAGCCCAAATCATCATCGATGCCTTCATTGTTTCGGGAGAAAGTGAGTTTTAATCACGATTTCGTACTCATTTTGATCTCTCTCTCTGTCTGCTCGCAGCCAAATGGATGGAGTCGAATGCTTTGGTGATGCTTCTGCCGCACGGCTACGATGGCGCTGCCTCAGAGCACAGTTCGTGCCGCATTGAGCGTTTCCTGCAGCTGTGCGACTCCAAGGAGACGTCCGCAGATGGCGATAGCGTCAATGTGCACATTGTCAGCCCCACCACACCCGCCCAGTACTATCATGTCCTGCGGCGCCAGCTGGCCAGGAACTTCCGCAAGCCATTGGTGGTGATGGGACCAAAGACGTTGCTCCGTCTGCCGGCAGCCACCTCCACGCACGAGGACTTCCAGCCGGGCACGCTCTTCCACAATGTTCTCGGTGCGTAAAGGTCAGCCTACAGCCTTGCTGTTTTCTTTATTATCAGTTGTTCTGCTTCGCCTTCTAGGTGATACTAAAGTGCAGGCGGATCAGGTGCGAAAGGTCGTCCTGTGCAGTGGGAAACACTACTATGCCCTGGCGGAGGAGCGTGAGAAGCGTCAGTCCTACGACACGGCCATCCTGCGCCTGGAGTCACTCTGCCCATTCCCCCTGCAGGAGCTGCAGGCACAGCTCGCCCAGTACGGTCACGTGCAATGTGAGTTTCATTTCGTAAACTTTTTCCGTACTCCTTCCCCCCCACTATATGCCTCTCCGGTCCACAGCCTTCGTTTGGAGCCAGGAGGAGCACCGTAATATGGGCGCCTGGACGTTTGTGCGGCCACGTTTTGAAAATTTAATTGGCCAACAGGTAAAAAGTCTTCTTCCGCCCCCACACACAAACAGCCGCAAAAAGAGCTCTCACACAATCGCACTCTCCACCTTCCACCTTCCACTTTCCATCCGTACAGCTCCACTACTGCGGTCGCTGCGAGGCCCCCACCCCGGCCACCGGCATCGGCAAAGTGCATAAACGGGAAGTTGATGAGATTGTTGCTGCCCCATTTGAACTTTAGTTGAAGCCGGATGCCCATGCCTGCCCCACACAGCCGCACAGCCACACAGCAACCACCCTGAAGCTCCTACGACTACTCGTACTCTGCCACAGCCTGTCCGTATATCACAAAGTACTTTTAGCTCAATAAAACTGCCAAAAAAATATATATAAAAACCAGAAGGGAAGTCAGAGTATAGCGTTAGGTCCCCGAAGGATAGATACGCTTGAAGATACAGAAGTACACACAGCAAACTGTAGGATATAGTCTGGAATTCCAGTTTAAAAAACAGTATGTTATAGTCATTAGAACGTAACAATTCCGACTTATATACATACTGCTTAAAGAATACTTAAGAGAAACAAAGTAGAAACATGGCTACATCTACTCTGCTTCGGATACTCTCACTTATCGAGTCTATACTTTCGATACCGCTGCCTGGTCTGCTTGGCAAACTTCTAGACAAAACCGTAGTAACCCCACTTTAGAGTATGGTAATACAAGTGGAGAAATGTAGAAAGTAGAGCGAGAAACGCTCACCGCCTTTCACAATAATTTATCGTATGGAAAAAGCTTCGTGGGAGGAGGGAGGAAAAAAACTTTAAGCCATAAAGTTTTAATTGTTTGTTGGCTGGTCCAGCCCTGGTGCCTGCCCAACGATTGTGTACATAATTTGCTGTAGCAGAAAAGTACTCGCCCTGGCCCTCGCCCTGGCCCCATAATAATCCTAATGTCCTGCAAGTGTAAAGTTCCGAAAAAAAAAAGAACGACATAAAGCCAGAAAGAGCAGGACGAACTTAACCTACCGTAAATATTTATTATATGTTTATGAAACATTTTACAGACTTTCATTTTGGAGTCGTTCAAGCAGCGAAGTGAACCAACTTATAAAATAAGTGTACAGCAGAGACATGCAATGGATGGACTATATTGGTTCAATTAGATGGACTACAAATATAAAGTATACATACATGGAAGCGAGAGACGAGACGCTAGGGAGATAGACAGATCTGTGAGGTGCATTGCGGTGAACTATGGCATTGTAGTGGTATCAAGTGCTTGGTGGTGCGGTGGAGGTGGGTACTACATATAAGGCGTTGCCAAGGACCCTAAAGCGGATAGAAGGTCGAGAGAAGGTTGAGAGAAACACTAACAAAGGATTCAAAAGAGGCAAAAGTCTCATCATCACACTTAAACCCTAGACGGCAGGCAGGTTCCCAACGAAGAATCTATATGACCGGCCTGCCGTAGACTTGCTCTAGAATGTTATAAAAGTCGGTGGACGTCTTATATGCAAAGTGCAGAAGTCACATCCAGAAGACCATGGCCACGCACACGACCACCACCACGAAGGCGGCCTCCCGGCAATTGGCATTATCCCAGCCGCATTCCAGGTCGAATTTGAGGGCCTTTCGCAGTAGAGTTAGTCGGTTAGTAGCACATCCAGATGATTTGTTGATCAAATGCTTACCTCCATGAGCTGCTGACCGCCCTTGTTCTCGCAGCGCGTCTCGCGCAGATCATCGTCGTGGTCATCGCAGTTGTGGCGTCCGTACACCTGGCAGGGCGAGTTCATGAACGTACGGAAGACGGTGTCGGTCCAGGTCTGCGATGAGCAAATGTACTGCCGACGCTTGCGCTGCCAGAACTCTACCCATCTTCAAAACAGAGAGCGATTATAGTGACAGTATGACGCAAGTTCTCATGAGAGTCCTACCCCAAATCGCAATCACAGTTGAGATCCGTGTGGGACATCTTCAAGTCAGTCAGGAAGACACTGTTGGGCAGATAGGGCACTTGACCAGTGTTTGGATTGGGGATCTTCTTGAGGTTGCGATTTTGGTAGCGAATGTCCAGCGAGATATTGCGCACCCGACCCATATGCTTGAAGAAGTTCGGAGGCAGTGCTTGCAGCGAGGTGTTGAAGAGTTGCATATAGAGGTAGGGAGACCGCATGCCCTGAAAGAATCGAATCATTTAGCATAGGGGTAGCTATAGTACGGACTACAATGACAGGCCTACCTTCAAGATGTGTTCATTCAAACTGGCAAACTGGGGACCACTGAACGTGAGGTTCGTCAGCTTCGACGGCAGATGTCCCTCCATCTCGCGCTGCAGATCGGTTGGATTGCCCAGCTGCAGAGTCTGCATCTCCTGGGTGGGACCCGAACCCTTCTTCACGATGCGTGTGAACGGCTGTGGGGCCTCGATCCACAGCTCCCGAATGTTGTAGTGATGGCGCAGCAAATGGGGAATGTTGAAGTGCTCCAGATGGGAGTATGCCGTCAGCTTGAGGGATCGCAGATGGGGCAAGGAGTCCAGACAGCCGTATTCAAAGTAATGCAGCCGGAAGTTGGATATATCCAGCATCTCGAGGTCCTCGTTGACGCCATCGAAGCTGTTGTTGTTCAGAGAGGTGATCGGATTGCCAGAGAGCATGAGGCGTCTGTGTGAGAAAAGAAACAACGATTAGAGGTCAGAGCTCTAATAGAGGGATCCGATGAATGGCTAAACAGACCTCAGATGAGGCAGTGATTGTGTCATCAGGGGTACATTTGTCAGATCATTGTTGGAGAGGTCCAGCATACGCAGGTTGCTCATATTGTGGGCCAGCTCCTGCGGAATCGAGGGCAGCTCGTTGTAGCCCAGTCGGAACTCACGCAGATACTTTAGCCGGATCTCTGGAACTGTACTCAAGGACACGTTTTCCATGCCCAACTTGATCAGCGAGTTCTCCAGGCCCATGAAGGATTTGTCCATTACTTTGAGATCCCGATTGTGAGAGAGATCGAGCACGGCCAGCCTGGGCATCGTGGCAAAGACAGCATCGTCGATGCGTAGCAAATAGTTGTAAGAGATGTCCAGGTAGCGAAGAGACTGCAAGGAGCCATGTTAGATGGCTGAGAATATGGTTGAGGGTGTGCCTTACTCTAAACTTATTGGACAGATCCATGCTGTGGATGGTGGAGATGAAATTGTTGGACAAGTGCAGCTCGCAGAGCGTCAGAGCCGCCAAGCTAGACAGCGACGAAGAGGGGATCTTCAAGAGCATGTTGTGCGAGACATCCAGCCTGTAAAGTAAATCAAATGTAACCGACAGATGGTAAAACGTTCCTCACGCAACTCTTACTTTTCCATTCCTCCATTATAGAAGAGGTTGTCGGGCAGTCCCCTCAGATGATTGTGCGAGAAGTCAACGATGCGCAGGCCTTGTACCGGCTTGAAGATATCCTGTGGGATGTCGCTCAGGTAGTTGTGGCCAAAATATACCAGCTGCAGGTTCTTTGTGTTCTTGAAGGCATCAAAGTCGAGCTCGTGGATCCAGTTGTAGCTCAGATCCAACCACTGGAGGTTGGGCATGTTGCCAAAGACATCACGAGTGGTGTTCTAAAAAGAAAAAGTGATCTTAAATAGATTGTTGGGAAGTGTGTTGGAGATGGTGTACCCACCATCAGGGAGTTGTAGCCCAAATGGAGGTGTGTCATCGAGATCTCGGCGGGACGGAAGTAGCCCGGATGAATGATGGATATATTGTTGTGGGACAGATCCAAGATCTTGATGTTCGAGTGGTACATGCCACCTGCAAGGCAAAGTAAAACCTTTGAGAAAGAGTTACGCTGAAGGGTGTTAGGGCTTCGCTCCCACCATGTTCATTCCTTCCGCTCCACGAAGAGTTGTACATCAGCTGCTTGATCTGATTGTGGCTGACGTTCACATTCAAATTGGACAGCGTGCCGACCTGGTCGAAGTAGTCAAAGTTGAAGTTCGGCAACTGATTGAAGGCCATGTCCAGGATCTCCAGTTTGGGCAGATTCTGGAAGGACTCGTCCGCGAGACTGTTCAGCTTATTTCCCCTCAGACTCAAGTACTCCAATTCATCCAGATTCATAAAGGCCCGACGTTCGACCTTGTCGATCTTGTTGTCATCCAGCTGCAGCTTACGCAGAGCCTCCAGATCGAAGAAGGTGTGCTGCGAGATTGAGTTGAGTAGATTGAAACGCAGCGAGATCTCCTCCAGCTTGGTGTGAATGTCGCCCTGGAAGGTGCCCTTCAGGACCTGTTCGATGCGGTTGTCGTGCAGCTCTAGCATGCGCAGGTTTTTCAAGAAGTGGAAGCTCGTATCGCTCATGGTGCTGATATGATTGTTGCTAAAGTCCAGCTCTTGGAGGGAAGTGAGGTGACGCAGGGGCTCAGCGGGCAGGGCACTGCCCGAGTAGCCATGCGACATCTTCAGAGATATCAGAGAGTGACCAATCTGTAAGATAACCAAGGAACCAAGTTAACTAAATGTTTCTGAGAGGGATTCTCCAAGGACCAACCTCATGGAAAGCATCATTCTCAATGCTCGATATTCCGTTCTCACTAAAGTCCAGCCGCTTCAGACCCCGCACATGCTTGAAGGCGTGCGATTGTATGGCCGAGAGACTGGCCCTGGTGATCTGCAGATCCTCCAGCTCCACTCCGAAATCCTTGAAGTCCTCGGGCCCCACGGAAGATGTTCCCAGCCGGGAGATGGAGAGCGAGCGCATGTTCCGCATTCTGGTCATACTTTTTGAAAATAAATACAAAACGTTGTTCTGGGGTAAGGAGGGGTGTGTGTGTGGGAGCAGGTCCGTGCGGGGGTGTACTTACTTGCGCAGGGTCTGGAGATTCGTGGGATCATTGCGGTCTCCGCTGAGGTCCAGCTTGAGCAGCGTGTAGTGCACGGCGTTGAAGGTTTCGGTGGGTTTCTGTATCTTGATCTTGTTGTCCCGCATGCTGATGACCCTGTTACGGACGTAGAAAGAGGAAACAGAGGGTTGAGTGGTTGGATGGGTTATTACGCCGGCTTTTCCCTCTTCTTCGCATTCTTCTTCGGTGTGCAAATCGGAATCGGAAACGGGTCACACACTTAGCACACATTGAGGAAGCCCTAGAGGCCGCTGACAATCGGATTAGGTAGGGTCTGTTGGTGGGTGGGTGTCTGGTTGGCTGGGTGCTGGTGGTGTGCCTGACTCACCTCAAGACATCGAAATTGTTAAAGAGTTTGTGGTGTAGCTTGGTCAGATTGTTGCCGGAGAGATCCAGGATCTGCAGGCTGTTCACCAGGCTGTCAAAGGCCTGCGGCGAAATGTTCGTGAGGCCGCAGTACCGCATGTAGATCTCCCTTATCCTGGCCGGCTTGAAGGCATCCTCCTGCCAATCAAATGCAAAGATTAACAGATGGAAAGGACAGAGGTCATCCGTGGACCCACCTTTAGAGTGTGTATAGGATTGCCATCGAAGAACGTCCGATTGACCGTGTCAAAGTATTTGAAGGAGTTCGGCGGCAGTACCTCTATATGATTGTACTCCAGGTGGAGATTATCCAGATTCAACTTAGTGCTGGCCTTGATGTCGTACGTCTCATTGCCACTCAGCGACCAGATCACGTTGTGGGAGATGTCCAGGGTGCGCAGGCTCTTGAGCGGACCGAGGGCATCGTAGGGGATCTCCGAGAGAATGTTGTCGGTGAGCAGGAGGCGCGTCAGGCGCGGCATTCCGTCCACGAACACGTTCGGATCGATCTCGAAGAGATTGTTGCCACTCAGGTCGAGGGTCTCCAGTATGAGCAGCCCGGTGAAGCTGTGCGTTTGCAACATGGAGATGCAGTTCTCCCGCAGGATCAGCGTCTGCAGCGAGTCCTCCAGACCGCGGAACGAGTCGTGGTGGATGTGCGTTATGTGATTGTAGCCCAGGTCCAGGTGCCGCAGCTTCTGCAGGTGGCGCAGCGACTTCGAGGGGATCTCCACCAAATCGTTCTGCGGCAGTATGAGCTCCCACAGCGAACGCTCCAGCCCCGTGAAGGCATCGTCGGGTATCTCTGTCAGATGATTCCCCGAAACCTTCAGCCGATACATACCCGTCGACTGCAGGAAGTACGGCTCGATCTCGCGCAATCCTGTGTTCTCCATGTGAAGCATGAAAACCTATACCCCAAAGGAATCGTCATCACTGCAAGATTGGGGGATCATCAGAGCAGCCTCTTATACACTCACCTTTGAATGGTTCACCATGCGTGGCAGTGCGGGGAAGGGCACATTCTTGCAGTGGACTATGCCCAGATCTGTGGAGGACTTGGAGCAGGTGCACATCACGTTGTAGGTGCAGGGTGGGTAGCGCCGCTCCTGCATCTCACGATCGAGCATCGAGGCGCGGGCCAGCGACATCCAGATCATGATGATGAGCGTTATGGTTAGGAAGGCATAGCCAAACTTAAAGAAGAACTCAAGACCCTGGGACGAGGAAATGAGAAAGAATATGGATAGAAGTAAAAATTAAAAATGAAGGATGTGAGGAACCTTCTCTATCTTTGGCTTCGTTAACCACACAAAGCCCAGAACTCCCCTTCATTATCGCTTAGAGAAAGGGTTCAGGGGTGACTAGACCAGCAGGACTTAAATCTAAGGCTTCTGAGGGGCTTGAGAGGCTTCTCCTTAGCGTAGCCTATCGAATGTCCTTTTATCAAATTATTAGCCCCATTTAGAGGATGGGAGTTCCCCGATTCGATTAGTTTTGAACAGGATCTCCTGTTGTGGCATACACACCATTTTGTTAATTGGATTAGGCACTCGCGATAATTGGCATTTAGAACAGACTTAATTCAATTTGGCTGCCACTCAATTCACACATGCGGCTGCCACTCTCCACTGATGCTGCACTGATGCTCTGCTCTCGGTTCGATTCCCACTGATTAATCCCTGCGCAGGACACTCGCGTTGCTGTTATCACTGCCCTCTGGCCAGAGTAGTCCTTGAGCGCTCGTGCCGATTTCAGTTCGACTTTCTGTTAAGAGAAAAAACACGTCCGAACCGATGCGCGTTTCACGCACGTCTGCAACATGGAACATCCATCGGCTGTGGGAGGTTGGTTGGCCAAGTGGCGCGCCTCGCTAATTGGATTGTAACATATCGGGGAATGCTCAGCGGCGCCGAGGCGCCTTCGTTGCATTTGGCCATTGGGCACAGCACACACGCACACGCTTTCGCTTAATTTGCTGCATTACTTTAGTGGTTGGATGGATGGATGGATGGTCGGTTGTTTAGAATATGGCCAGCAAAATGGATACAAGAATAGGGCGGAAGAGGATTTCGGTTTTCAAGATTTTCTGGGGCCAGTCAATGCAGCCGTGCAGCCTCTGGGTCGACTTAAAACTTGTAAGATTTCGCTTAACATGATTTCAGGTTTTTGGGCGGCGAAAGCAGCGTGAAAAGCAGCGTGTACAACAAGCTGCAAACAATTGAGTCTTAATGGGATTGGGGTATACATATAGGATATAATTTAGGATTAACAAAACATGCACAAAATATTACAAACGAAGGGAGTTATTGCATTGGCCACGCCGTCTCATTTCAGTGTGCGTATTTTGCGATACAGCCAGGAATGGTAGGTGCGTTCCTTGACCAGTTCTTTATCTGTAAGAGAGAGAATTAAATAATTTAATGTCATATGGAAATAACATTTAAATCTACTACTAACCATCACACTGAAAGCACTGAGCCAGCTGTGGCGGACAAATGTTCTCCGAATTAAAGTAAAATGTGGTCTGGAGTTCGCGGAATTTGTTCACAGACTTCATTGTGATATGCCGCGAGTAGGGCTCCTTGCCATCGAGATGGTCGCGAACGTAATGGGCCGCCAGGTGAATGTCCATCACGTCGCTTAGCTGGTCATCAATAGCCTCCACCTGCTTAGGGGTCTTTTTCAAAAGCTCAGAGCAGACATCGCTGTAGACTGGGGACAACATTTAGAAAGAAGTTTTGGAATGCCTGAAGGCTTTCATGTCTGGCTCACCATTGGGCAGATTCAGGTGAATGTGTATCATCAGCAGATGCTCCATGGTGCAATGGATTTGGAACAGTTTCGAGATCCGCTCCATGCTCTCGTGCTCATCAAAGTGACTATTTTTGATCCCGGCCACATCGTCGTCACCATATTTGACGGCCGTCGCTCTGCTGTCCGCATCGAGATGCAGCAGAGTCTTACGCATGCCACCTCCTGGCGTCGCGTCTCCTCGGACGGCGTTGTGCAGGGATTTGCGGAGCTGCGGCACATTCTGGGGCGACCCATCTGCCGTTTCTGACGACTCCTTAAGCAGATTGGTGCTGCACATCTTGCTCTCCGTGTAGATAAACTCGTAGTCCTTGTACACCTTCTCCAGGCCAACTTCCAGAAGCAGTTCTAGCGCCTCGGCGCCACTGAGGCAAGGAATGGCCAGTCGGCGATTGGCCAACTCTGTGATGATCTCCGCCAAGCGGTTCTTGTTCGTTGGTGTATTCTTTAAAAGATATGTAATTATGTGAAAGATATAAACATGGATTTTATTTGGCTATACGCACCACAATGTTGCAGCGAGCGGCGCACTGGAAGAGCATATTGAAGGCCATCTTCAGATCCTTGTAGGAACCACAGCCTAGAGCACACAGAATATGATTTAAACTGTCAACTAGAAGATAGGACATTGAATTAACTTACACTTGAGCAGCTCCCACAGCTTGTCGGTGAGATCCGTGAGCCGCCTGCCCTTGGCCCGATGCACCACCTCCTCAATATCGAACTCGGAAGCGCCAGTGATGTACGTATCCATCAGGTCGGAAACATCCGTCATGGTCTTGTTAATCGAGTCGCGCAGCTCATCCATATCAATGCCGCTGCCACAGCGATATGTAGGGTCCCGGATAAGGCCCTGCCGCTCGTCATTGTGGTAACTAACGATGTCCTCGCGTATATAGACCAGAATACGCAGCTGGTTCATGAAGTCCTGCGTCAAAGAACTGCAATCGCCGACGCGAAATGTGTGCGAGAGAGCCACCTCGCACTCGCGCAGGTTGACCAGCTGGGGCTGTGGAGACGACGTGACCCAGGAGCAGCGCAGCGTCATTTTTGGATTGACCTGATATCTGTTTTCAATGGAAGTCTCCATAGGCGCCCCGCCTGCTATCGAGTGCTGACGCACCAGGGACTGCGAAGTGACCATAAATGCCGGAAGCACCCCCTGGTAGCTAAGGATGCCGCGCGAGAAGTGCGTCTTATGGAACTCGTACTGCAGCAACTGGGTCTGACCATGGTCGCTGCCATCGCACAGGAACCAGACGGACCCCAAGCCATCGGCATGCTGAAAATGCTCGGTGCAGATGATGCCGCGCGCCTTGTCCACGGACATACCGCGCTGAAACTCCTCCTCCAGCTTCCAGGGATGTGAGCTCACCAGTTGCAGATCCAGCGAGAGGTCGGCAATTGCATCCACAATGCAATCATCCTTCAAGGGACTGCCTGTCAGATCCAACTCGGAGGTTCCCTCTATTTTTTGCAGCAGTTTTGTGGGCGTCGTTTTGATTTTGGACGCCGCTGCATTGCGATCCTCTTTGAAAACGAGCACGATCTTTTTCCCAACTTCACCGGCCCCAGCTATGCTGCCCAGGTACGTGGGCGGAGGTCCATACGTAATAGTATAGTCTTCCCCATATCTGCGCATTAATTCGGCATAAATATTTGCTAGATTTGCAGCCATTTTTTTAAGAAAATTGTTCAAAAACAAACACAGTAAAAGCGGCAAGTGTTCAAAGGCGTCCACCGATAGACATGAATGTATCGAAATGCAACAGGAGTAAATTGAATATGTACGATAGATTTTGACGATAGCAATGGGAGGGACGTCTGGCCGATGTTTCCCCAGCTCTAAGTCCATCTCTAATACTCCGCACGTGTTGATAATATTTTTGTTACTCGGACATTTTTCGTTTATTTAAGCATGTCCGACTTTGAAATGGAAGAGAGTGGCTCGGAATACGACTCCGATGACAACTCCGATGCTGAGGTAAGTTGTGAAATGGAAGTTTACCGCAAGAATCAAGCTAAAAAGTCCACTTATTTTTGACTAGTTGCAAGCTGCTTTTGAGCGTGGCGAACTGAAACCCGGCCTCAATGTGGAATTCAATGGAACTCGCGGCAGAGTAAACGATATCGTAAGTGCACACACACACTCCTCTCCTCATTATACTGCTAATCATTCATTTGCAGACAAAACTGCTAGCCAAAACAGAAGCCATTCGGCTGCAGCTGCCATGGGTGGAGCGGCTGGACATGGTGAACAGTCTGGCGCCTTTGGCCCCAGAGCTGGCCGTCCAACTGGAGAAGCACGAACAGAAGCGTGCCAATGTGTTTAAAGGCAACGCCAAGCTACCTTACGTTCGGCCTGAAGAGGATCCCGTGCTGAACGATTTCAAACGTGAGATGCTATTCCATCGCCAGGCCCAGAGCGCCGTGCTGGAGGGAATCCAGCGGTTGCAGGAGCTTGGCATCAAGACACGCCGTCCCGACGACTACTTCGCTGAAATGGCCAAGACTGACGAACACATGCAAAAGGTGCGATCAAATCTGATGGCCAAGCAGCAGGGTCAGGCCAAGTCGGAGCGCATCAAACAGATCAGGGAGCAACGCAAGATGGGCAAGATGCTGGCCAAGCAGACCAAGGTGCAGCGCGAGGCCGAGAAGAAGGATATGCTGGACAAGCTGAAAAAGTTCCGCAAGGGCAAGCTGAAGAACCTGGACTTCCTCGAGGACGCCAAGGCGCTGGAGTCCAAGCAGAAGAAGACCGCCGAAAACCGCAAGGCCCGAAACAAAAAGTTCGGCTTCGGTGGCAAGAAGAAGGGTCTCAAGCGCAACACAAAATCTTCGTCGGCTGGCTTGGACGCAGAGAAGTCCACACGCCGCCAGCGGGGTGCGAAGGCTGGTGCATCGGTCAACAAGCGGATGGGCAAATCGCGACGCATCAAGGCCAAGGGCAGAAAGTGACCGAACTTCGGCTTATGATTAGGTGACCCAAACTTAGATTTTAAATGCCTTCCGCAGATCGTGTATAGATTTATTATAACTAAATACATACAAGTTTATGTGCACTAAATAGACTCCACGAAACGAGTTCCAAATTAATGAATCCTCCAGCCTTAACCTATTCCTTATCCTCCTGCCTGTGCTTGTGCTTCTTTTTCTTCTTTTTACTCTTGACGGGCGGCTCAGCTTCAGTTTCAATGGATTCCTCAGTCTTGCGCTTCTTCTTTTTGTACTTTACGGGCTCCTCCACTGGCTCTGCGGCCACATCTTCGGGCTGTTCTTCAGCCTCCTCCTGCAACTCCTGGGTCTGCTCTGATTTGTCTCTTTTCTTCTTTTTTTTGGTTGGTTCCTCATCTAAAACCGACTTTTGCCTGCTCTGCAGCTTCTCTAGCATCTCGCGCTCCTGCTGCTCTATTCGGGCCAGTTTCCCACTCAATTTCAGACCATGGCGAGCCCCTTTGTGTGCCGTTCGTCCGCCGCAAGCCTTGAACAGCTCCTCATCTGTGAGGACACTGACCTTGGTGACGGCTATGTCCTCCACTTTGATGCGTTCTGTATTGTCCACCTCGCCACCGTTTTGGGTGAGCAGCGCCGTCTGCAGGAAGTTGTCGTAGGTGGCTGCACCAGCAACGGCCTGCTGCTCCTTGGCCTTCCTCAGCTTGCGGGCAGAGAAGCCCTTGGTGGAGATCTCGACAGCCTCCTCGCCCTGCTTGCGATTTGTGCTGACTTGGCCGTTCTGCTGCACCTGGACCTCCACATTGTTGGCTGCCTCATTGAAGCACCGCTCCCACCAATGGTCGTTGAATTCCTGTGCTCGATCCACTCCCAAGCCGGCGTTGTCGAACTTCAGGCTGGCCTTCAATGGAGCCGCAATGCCGGTGTTGTTTTTGCCAAGCCCCTCGCCTTCTTTCCAGCCATATTTGTTGAGAATCTTCTTGGCGAAATCCATTCCATCCGAAAACAAAAACACACGTGCAGGGTGACCGCGAACATAGCCCACTTAAGCCCCCTCTCTTTAAACAGTTCAACGACTTGAGGTAAATGGCGGAAAATATTACTGATTGTAAATTCAGCTTGTAGGTTCATGCCATCTTTCCTCTGAACTTATAAAAAACACGATATATTTCACTTGAACTGAGCTAAAATTATAAAATTCTCATTATTTTCCGTGGTATATTAAAACATCCCTTGGTCTACAATGGGTTAATCGTTCTTCGTCAAGGATTGGCAGCCATATTCCTTGATTTTAATATTCGATTTGATACTACTAGCAAGGTAGGACTTTTATACATGAACACATTATAATTTAAATTACTTCCATTTATTGAACATTTTCTTAAATAAGGTTTAAAGTCAAAGCACAAAAACGTAAGTGTGTACGGAATGAAACGTAAGTGTGTTACGTTACGCCATTGTTGCTGGTCAACAGATATCCGATTTAAGTATGGACATCTTTGTACCAATTTCACTTAATAAATATGAAAATTCAGTTTGTAACTACTGATAAACATATCCCCAATTCTATACTATCCTTTTCCCTAGGGTATCAGAATGTTGCCCATCCTGCTCGTTTTCGGATTAGCGATGACAATTCAATTACATTTTTACATTGCTCAATTTATGACATGGTAACTACACGGTAACTACTCATTTGTGCATTGTGAACGCGCATCTATCGATTAATCGTGTCGAGATGCGCAGAGCTGCATTTTGGCGGAAAATTCAAATTTCAATTTAGCTGCCAGCCAATTGCAGCCCCGTGGAAATCTTTGGGTTTTTTCTAACATAAATTCAAATAAGACAATAATGATTTTCCTTGAACACATTCATATCTCCTTTATTTCACAATTCGGCTCCGTGCTTCTTGTTCGTTTGCTCATGCCATTGATAAAATCCTAATTTTAGTAAATATTTATAATAAATATTAAGTGGCAATACAAAAATTAACTGCGTTTACATTAAGGAAATTGATTTTCGAATACAAAATACACTTGAAAAGAAATGGGTTCTCAGTACATGCCACATAAAATAGCAAAATTATGAGCACACAACTACAACGCTTCAGCACCGCATACGCCCACGAACTGTTTCTCGCCAGAATCGCCCGCACTCGCATCACCCACACCACAGAGATTGATGTTGGGCTGGTGGACAGAGGAGGCACGTTTAGCCTGCCGCTTTGACGATGGATGATGGTGGTCCAATCCAAGAACTTCGGTGGAGAGAGAGAGAGACTTGAAGCGGACGTGGACCAATTCCACCCTGGATGTGAGGAGAGTCGAGTGCGACCGGACTCCTGGTGGGGCCTCGTCCGTGTGAGTGTGGGGTGTGGGGCTGGCGGAGATGAGTCTGAAGCTGGCTTCAATTAAAATCTAATTTCAATTTATACAGATTCAGATACAGATTAAGCTGTTCGGTATACATTTCGTTACAATCTTGATCGTGAATGTGTTGTTCTCTAGTCTTCGATTGGATCCGATCGATCTCTATAATGCATTATGTTCTCGCAGTGATGTGTTCTTCCAGAATTGTTTATTAGCGCTCCGCTCCGCTCTGCTGATATCGTTTTAAACTTAACTCAAAGTGTGTTCTTTGTTCTTCTCCTTAGGCGATTACTACGTTTCGGGTGTTTCGGATGTTTTTTAAAAACAAAATTACATATATTATGTGGTTGTGGTTGTTATTTTATAATTAGATAGTTGTACAGGATGTTCTTGTTGCTATCAATCAATCAATCATTTTTATCATTAATAATCGAAAAACGAACGATGGTGTTGTTGTTGGTTGGTTGGTTGTTGGTTACTTCCCCTCTGCCGCCGCTCGGATGCCCGCGTCTGCCCTCAGCCGAGCGCACACACACACACACGCACGATTGCAGGAAACAAGGACGAGCATTCGTTCGATGCGCGCTTAGAAGGCGAAGAGCAGCAGGAAAGCCATCATAAGACAGAACAGACCCATGGCCTCAGACAGGGCAAAGCCCAGAATGGCGTAGGAGAACAGCTGCTGTTTCAAGGATGGATTCCTGGCATAACCAATGATGAGGGAACCGAATACTGTTCCGATACCAGCACCTGTTGCATTGGTTTGTTGTCAAGGACGCGGAAACATGTAGGGGACATGGAAGAAAGACAATATTCAATTAGTCAACGTCTCAAATGAAAGTTGATCTCCGGCAACAGCCGAAGAGCTCGGGCTGTGCTTATACGAGTTCTGTTGCACATCGTGTAAACACAACCGACGCGGTCCCTGCCCAGCCATTGTCTTCCGTCTTTCGCCTCGTTTGCTGACGCCAGTCAGTCACAGATTAGTCTGAATTGAGTTCTGCGTTGCCCGGAGGCTTTGCAGCAAGCACATTGCACTAAAACAGCCGGCCACGAAAGTTTTCAATGCAACAAGGCGGCAGTCAGACGCGAGCGCCGATGGCAACGCCAAGCCGCAGTATTTCTGGTACTTTCGTCCTGCAATCACACAGGTTTCCTGCTAGGAAATTAAGCCTCCGACACACAGGCACCTCTCGATGCACTGCATGTTGTAACAACACAAGGAGGCTTGGCCAAATCTCAGACCTTCCCGGGGCAAAGTAAGAGTAATCAGATACTCGTTGTGTGTGCCCCAGATGCTAGTTTGTAACTGACTGAAGGAGGTGAAGAGCCGGGACGTAACATGGGCGGAGGGCCACGCATGATAGGTGGGTATGAGCCATGGGAATGGGAGTAACAACAAAACCAATACGAACCGGATCCAGCGACACCGACTGTTGCAGCACCAGCACCAATGAATTTGGCAGCCGAATCAATGTCACGGGTGACGGGCGAGGTCTGGAATGACCTGATTTGTGGCAGTAATGCAACTGGGGTTGTGTTCTGAGCGGCCAAGGTCTGGCTCTGGCTGATGACGGCGCTGCTCAATGGTCGCAAGTACTGCTTGGAGTTGGCGAGGAGCTGCAAAGGAGAAGACATATAGAGTTAGTTATTATATAAGAAGAATGCGGATAAGTGTTAGTTGCTGTGTACTTTGCTTGAGATAAAAGTGTATCCAAGTGATAAGAGAAGCAGTCCACCCCCTTTGAGAGTGAGGCGTCAGTTCATTGTGCTTTTTCCCCGTCTGAGAAAAATCTTATTTAATAGGAGGCATAGGTGGCCGGCCATTGCCAAGTTATGCAATCGTTGAGTAATTTAGGTTTGATATTTTGGCAACTGCATTTGTTGTTGTATCGTTACGGACAATGACCACTGACGCTATTCGATTGCACGGCCGAATGGATTTCCGGATTATCAATAATGTCATAAACAAAAGTTGAATTATTCCTCTCGCCATTGGAAAGCTTTCACCTGTTCTAACCTCAACTAAGGGCGCACGCACGATAGATACGGTTGGTGGTTATACAATGCCATGTGAGGCTCTTTGTAGGCACTAATTGGTCAACAAATTTATTATATTTCGATTGAAAAGTGTACAATTTAATATACTTTCCTCTTAATTGCATTTAAATTATGTTTCCAGCCGCGTTCTCGACATAACCTCAAACTTTGCCTGCAACTTAACTTATGTAACTGTGTGTGTTTCCACGATTGGAAGTTCACCACGAAGGGGCGCCGATGTAAGCGGCCGCCAACATAGATTTTTATGCATATCGAGGGAAAAAAAATAGGAAAATCGATGCAGCTATTGATTATGTAACACGCTTTAAACAATTTTATCTCGCACAAAGGCACAACAAGAGTAACGTCACATTTTCGTCTACTTACGGCGCTCCTGGCAACGGGGGCAATGCGAGAGACTGTCGACACGAACATTTTCAGTTGATTTTTTTTTTTGATTGGCTTACGACAAAATTGAAGCTAGCGCACGGAGCTCTGCAAAAGATATAGATGGAAATAAACTATAGGTTCTATGCGATAAATAAGTTTGCATTTGGTAAACGCCGCTGTCGCTGCTGCTGCTGCCGCTACCGCCTGCAAAATGTTACGTAATGGGTGGAAAAAGTTGATTTTGCACTGGACTTTCACGCGACTCGACGTTAATATTCACGTGTTAGTTTAATTCTGCGAAATTAAAACCTTTTTCTTTAGTTTTCTTGCAAATTTGTCAATTTACTTTGCTGTTCGACTTTTTCAGTGACGCAACGTCTCGACACACAGGCACACTATTGAGCACTGGCAATTCCTCTCGTCACATGTGTGTGTGTGTCTGTGTGTGTGCCGCAAGATGGCGACATTCGACACGTTTTCGAGAAAATGTACAATTTCCACTGATAATTCACACTTTTCCACTTAATTGCACTTTGCATTCACATTCGCAAGATAATCTAAAGCATTTTCTTTCCGAGCACTGATTATTCAACCAGCAGGGGGGGTGCTCCGCTGGCGGCGGTAGCAGCTGAGCAGTTTTCAATTCCATCGCAGAACTCACTTCGAACAAACCCTTAACAACAGTGGAACCGTATTGAACGCGAAATATAACTTTACCCTGTGCTGGCAAAATTTTGGACGTCTGCGTGGTGAATTCCACGAGCGGGAAAGGTGCGCGCGCACGCGATTCTATCGATAACCTACTAATTTAAGTGTTTATTATAAACAAATGGCATTATTCGAGTCCACTGAGATCCGTTTGCTGCACTATTTTTTTTTGCTTTCCGTCAATTACCTTAATAGCGGCGTCAGTGGCGAAATTGAATTGCGATTGTAACTAGTTTGCGGTAAATGCAAGCCTGCGCCGGTCCATCCGTGGTGTACTGGAAGCGATACTGGAATGCGACGCCGGTTTTTGCTTTATTATCACAAAATTTCAACGCTTGATGCTATCACTTCGGAGCTGATTTTAACAATTATTAATTTTCACGGCATGAGACGTCTAAATTGTCAAACTCCTGGGAATTGAAAATGGCGAATTGTCAGTCCTGGCACCAGAGTTGCTCTAATTGCGTCGGCGATAGTTCCGATAGTCGGGCGGGTCAATTTAAAACTTATTGTAATGTAATCGATAGTAATGTTTGTACTATTTAATTTCAGCTAAGGTAAGCAGAACATTTTATCTAGCTTAATTACTAGCTATTTAATGTATTTCTCTACTTACAACCGCCTTGCATCCTCAGCTAATCGAATCTATCACTCTAGCCCTGGTCACTCTAGCCCGTTCCGTTTCTGGCCTATTCACCACATCCACGCACACAACTACAGCCGCAGCATAACGCGTCGTCGTGTCGTTGGTGTCTACGTCACGTCGCTTCGAATATGTTTTAATTTCCTGCAACTGCAAGGCTTCACAATCGACACAGAATGCTGTAAGTAGATAAATTGTGATTTTCCCCGTGCTTGTTTGGCCACATCTAACAGCCAATCTCGCCGCCCCGCTCCCCGTTTGTGTGTCATTGCAGCCCTCAATTGCATAACAGCAGCATTTATGCATGAGTGTGTGTGTGTGTGAGACCGAAACACACCACACCACGCAGCCAGGCCAACTAGAGACGGCAGTAGCAACAACAGGGGCATCGGCTGCATCGACCGGGAGCCACGCCACGCGGTTTTTCAAATCACTGTAAAATTTGCTGCATTTAGCAGATACCCATAATCCTTGGATATCAGTAAAAATACAGTGAAATTGAGAGGCTATAGGCTATATCGGACAGGCCGCATCAACCGCTAGAATGTTTCGCTGCTGACTATCGATAGATACTCGATAGTCGCGACCATCGCCACCAACAACAGTATTCATTCGAACAATTTTACATAACTACAACGCAGTCATCGTCGTACGACTCGAGTGATAGAGTGATATGGCCGTGTTCCTGATCAACGTCTGTAAATATAGTGGCTGCGGCATCACATTTCCAAGCTTAAGCGATCTAATATCACACATCGAGGACACCCATATAGGTGAGCACTTGTGACACGGGAGTAATCATTTAGTAGTCGCGTGATGCATCGAAGCGAGCGGTGTGTTTTGTTTATTTTATTTATATACCATATACAATGTATATACGTTTGCATACATGATGCGCGGTGCGGTGCGGCGTATCTGCATGTGTTGCGAGAGTGTTTGTGTGTGAGTGAGTGAATTGGTGTGCGGGTGTACGCCCGTTGTGTGGTGAATGTTGTTTCTATTGGACGATTGGGCCTAAAGCCAGTTATTAATGACAGTTCAGATTCTATTCGGGGGAAAATCGATGCTGACCCAGGCCTAAATATGCACGCGGCATATACAATAGGCAGACAATTGCTTACCTGTGTGTACCTCACGCACACCTCGGCAAGTACAGCATTCGATTGGTGTGCGCTTGCTCCTCTGGCCATGATCGGATACAACCATGTTACCATGTTGGTGCGAGCGAGCGCGTATTATAAGCAAAACAAAAGCAAGCAAAAAGCCGGTGATCCATTCAGGCAACAACAAACCAACAACACCAGTGCGATTGTGTGTGAGTGTGTGAACGTGTGATGGTGTGCGTGAGGCCAACACAGCATCTTGTACTATGGAACCGGCATGTTAAGCGCCCTTTTCTGTGACCTGTCCGCATGGCTTGGCTTGGGTTTTGAGCGCGCGCGTCTCTGTCGCGGCAGGTGTATCAGAGCAGCTATGCATTTGGCGAGTAATCGGAGATGCGGTCTACTTTCACAGACTCCCTGGTCGGTCGCCCACGCACAATTGTCCGAAGTTGGGCCTCTGAATACACACGTGACTGGGTTACGTCCGCCCTCCATTCTCCTGTGAACCCTAATTAATCATTCTGTATGTGTGGACTTGTACCGGCTGTCGGAACCCATTCCCCCTCCGAACCCCACCCCACCCTCCCTCCATTTGAGTGCATAGATATAAACAATTTCTAATTTTAGCGTGTGGGTGCTCGCTCAGGTACCTGGTTCTGAAGCGGGTATTAAAGGGGTGGGGTGGGCAGAGAGAAAATCAATAAAATTAAGCCCAGTGTTGCCACTTGGCTTCAATTGTGGGTCGCAACGGGGCTTGGGGGTTGTGTGTGCTGTGCGTTATGTAGCATCATGCTCAAGGGGGTGGGTAAATGGTGGTGCGGGGCATCATTTGTTTGTATTCCATCTATGTATAGTGTATATGTATACGCTTTCATGTAGGGGTGGCTACCCGGGGCTCAGCTGACTCGGTTACAGTTACGTTGGCAGCTGTTTTGTTGTTGCCTACGAGTGAGTGTGATAACGGTCAACATACAACAGCAATGGCGGCGTCGGCGTTGCCCGGGCAGGCTTTCTCCCTCTCCACGGCCCGGCCCGGCCTGCCTCGGCCCCGGGCATTACATAAAGCTCGAGCATACGCCCACATGGCGTCTACTCTGCCCCTGTCAGTCGCATCCATCCCCCAATCCATTATCCATGTCGGTGTGACTTGGTTCCATTACGTGAACGAAGCGAACATTTGCCCGGATTATAAATGCCTATCATTTCATTATCTCGCAGGACATTTGATGCGTGGGCAGAGTGGGGTTTCGTTTCGGTTTGCCGTCAATGTCTTATCAAGCCCGCACGCTTCGTCGAGCGTCGAGCGCTGGGCGTTGGCGTTGCCCTGGCAACACCGCGCCATCCGGGAGACCTTCACGTTTGTCCTTTTCACAGTTGCCAGGCACCTGTTGGGTCCCAAATAACTGTACTATGTTGATGTGTGTGTTTTTTGGGGGTGTAAGGAAGAACGCTTCGTCTCGCTTTTGATTTTCGAAATTCGACATGGCGCCGGGTCACGAAGATAACATGATCGTTTCTGTCTGCACATTTGCAAATTCAGCATACAGACATTGCCAAAATATTCGTCAAGTCAACGACTTTTGCGTCTTTGTTTTTATCAAAATTTCAAAGAATGCTTTCGAATCTATTGGAAAGTTTTGTTGTTTTGCTGGTCTGATTGGTCCGTCCAAAAACAATGTGTACACTTGTTCGTCTGTGTGTGTTTGTAATTATTATCTGCTCGAAATTCTGCAACAAGTGCATGACTCATGGGTGGGGAGGGAGCGGCAGGAACGGCGGCATCTGCGTTTATTTTGTTTTTAAAATACAAATACGAAAGATATACTATACTCGGTATATAGGCAGTATATATTGTGTGTACATAGATCATATTGTTTGTTTAAAAGCTGTCTGTAAAAAAGTCGAAGAGCAAGTAAGTGTCACCTACAGCGGGAGACGTGTGTGTGTGCGAGAGAAGGCAAGAGAACCGCGGAGAGACTGCCTGTGATACTGAGAGGGACTGCTTGAGGTTATCAACTAGCAAAAGCAACAAAAACAGCAACAAAATAATAACAATAATGAATGCAAAATAAATGTTGAACTGATTTGACCGTAGCAAATGACGCCGTGTGCGAATGGCACTTTGAAGCAGAAAACTCAACAGCAAGAGAGGGGGGGGAGGGGTGGTGGCCGTGGGCGGGGCGGCTTCTGTGCGATTTTGTCAGCCAAAATTGTTTTTATATGCCACAATCGAATATTAACATGTATCTTTGAGTAACTATGGGCGGTACGTGGAATTATGTGCGTAATAAACTTAATATCGATGTGTTCTCTTTGTATGTGTATGTGTCATCAATCGATTGCAAGGCACGTAGACATAAAATCATGGCCGCAAATGTTTTTAATCACCACTTGCCCTGATAAGAATAGCGTTAGCTAGCGGGGAGGGGAGTTCGTGGGGGTGTGTGGATTCTGCTAAATTAAGCATATGTTTCGGCATATGTTTTGTGTTTGCACGTCATTCAAAGTGAATCAATTAAAATGCAGCGCTATCGTTATCGCCTGGAATGTGGGTGGCAGACAGAGCTGCAATCGAAAGATCGTTAAGGATAAACAGCTGTTAGGCCCCCGCTGTAAACGCTCTGTTACAGTGCATGGGGCCTCTGGCTTTGAGTGACGTAATGAATGGTCGTGCTGACACACTTACGCACAAAAATGATTTAATTGACGAATTGACGAAAACGTACGGCACGCACACACCCAAAGCCTATACCTATACCTATAGCTATAATATCAAGCGAATCAATCAAATGTTCAACGTTATCGCAATATAATCGAATGTGGGAGGCAGGGCTGTAAATCCATGAAAAGGAAGCGGTAAAGATAAGATTGTTAAGGATAAACAGCCCCAACTGTAAACACTCTGCTCTGTTACAGCGCTGGGTGCCCCAGGCCACACGATGAATGATGATCGTGCGCCGCTGTGACACAGTTTACGCACATACTGTAATTTAATTGAGAAATAAAGCGTGCACCGCTGTAGTAGTCCGCTCATGGAGGTTAGGTTACGCACACAATCCCAGAAAATCCGAAAGCGTTCAGCTTTTGCGTGAGAGCTGGGACAGATGGACGGCACCGGGCACCGGGCACCTGCGAGCTGCTGCTATTATGCACTCTCTGATTAAGCAAACTGCTGGGCTTATGTTTCGTTAAAACGATAAGATAATGTCCCGCGACTAGCAGCCAGACACATGAGCTGTGCTCGCTCGGCTTGCCCCCCTACGGCCCGCTCCTGCAGTTGGCAGAACAGACAGAACAGAACCCTCACAAAATGCGTCAGCAGCGGCATTAAATTGGGGTTTCTGTACGTGCACTCTCGTCTGTTTGCTTATTTCAACATTTTAACAATAAATTACTGCTTCTGTGGGTCTGTGTGTCGGTCGTGTAGCCGTGTCGCCGTGTACCGAGTGCTTGAACTTGTTTCACTGCAAATACGAGTACAACAATTTAATAAATATGGGCGAGCCGAAATAAATTTGGATGCAGGTTTCTGTCGACCGGCCGGTCCGCCGGCCCGCATTCCTCCGATTCAGATTTGGATTCATATTCGAAATGTCATTTTCAATTAGCTCATCCCCTCTTTCGTCTCTTTTCTGTTTCCTCTCTCTCATCGCCCACTCCAGACTATGATCCTAAGGTGGTCGAACAGAAGGAGCAGGCCCAGCCTGCCTGCCTGCCCCTGAGCTACGTCCTGCGCTTCGTCACGGAGGACAACCGCAAGGAGGCCGCCACCTTTCTGGCCAACAACACCGCCCCACCTGCCACCAATAGCGGCAGCAATGCCGGCAGCCACGGCAGTGGCAATGTGGAGCTCAAGCGAAAGCTGGCCATCAAGCACCACAGCTACAGCATGTCGTCGTCCAATCGCAGCACCACGCCCACAGGTGAGTGATGACCGACCCCCCATGACTCGCCATGGTCGTGGAACTGATAATGTAATCTGTGGGTCTGCTCTTTTTCTGATATTTTAGGCAGTGAAATGGACGAGGATGAAATGGTTGTCACGGAGTCCGAGGACAGCAATGATTCCTGGACCACCGAGGAGTTTAGCTCCGAGTTTATCATGCGCTATGGCAGCAGGTTCGTTCTATCTCTCTAAATACCTCTAAAAAAGCAAAAGTTTTGATGATTGTAAGCCTTCCGCACTCTCCGCACATAGGCATTCCGGTGGCGGAAGCAATGGCACGCCTGGCAATGAGAAACCCTTCGCCTGCCCTGTGCCCGGATGCAAAAAACGCTACAAAAACGTCAACGGCATCAAGTACCATTCGAAGAATGGCCACAAAAAGGACGGAAGGTAGGCAGTCCACCCAAAGGGGACTCCCAATTGGGCTCTAGAAACTCATAATTTTACTCCACCACAGAGTGCGAAAGGGCTACAAATGCCACTGCGGGAAAAGCTACAAAACGGCGCAGGGCCTGAAAAACCATGCCCTCCACACCCACAACGCGCAGCCCGAGAGCGTTCTGACCACCCAGCAGGTGGCCAATGCTGCGGCTGCCGCCGCATCTTCTTCCGTGAGTGGTGGCAGCACCAACAGCAGCTCCAATCCCACTCCGCCCGCCATCCAGCGCAGCAACTCTCCATCGCAGTCGCTTGGCTCGCTGAGCCCGTCGAGCATTAGCAACATGTCGAGCAGCGCCAGCAGCTGTCATGGAGGCAGCAGTCTGTCCAACAACAACAACAACAACGGCACCAGCAGTAGCAGCCAGAACACTGCCATCGTTGGGGGTGGCAATATGCTGCAGCAGCTCAGCACTGGGAACGTGGTCACCCTGACCAATCTTCCATCTCAGCAGCAGCAGCAGCAGCAACACCAGCCGCATCCACAGCAGCAGCAGCAGCATCAGAACCACCACCAGAATGGCGGCTCAGCAACAGGTAACAGCAACAACAATTTAATGCGCAGCACACTCGGTTTAGTATCCATTAAAGCCAATAGCCACAGCAGCAACAGCAATGGGAACAACGCAAATCCCAAGACTGTTAGCAACCTAATGGCTGCCAATGCAACGGCCAGTAAGATACTCAAACTCGCCACCAACGTGGCCAACGGTGGCTCTGTAGTGGCGCCCAATGTCGTTGACCAAGTAGTCAAGCAAACCACCAGCAATGGCCCGACGGTGATCAACAGCAGCATCAACAACGCCAACAAGATGCCGTTGCCAAACTTGGTAAACCTTGGCATACTCACGCCAGCCACATCGCCCACCAAAAACACCCAGACGCTGACCTTCACCTCCACGACGAATACCAGTGGCCACAACAACCAGCAGCAGCAGCACCAGCAGCAACATCACCAGCAACAGCAGCAGCTGCTCACTTCGCTCACCTCGAACATGCAGAAGCACCAGAAGACCAGCATCCTGCTTCTGCAAGAGCCAACCACTCCCAGCCAGATCCTGCAGCCAGTCCAGGCACAACAGCAGCATCAGCAGCAACAGCATCATCTGCAACTGCAACAGCAGATGCAGCAGCAACAGCAACAGCATCATGCGCTGCCCATCAGTCCTACGAGCAGCGTCAGCGGCAACAGCAGCAAGAGCAGCTCGCCCACGCCACAACAACAATTGCAGCAGCAACAGCAGCAGCCGCCACTGATAAAGAAGGGAAAGATGGAGCCCATATCCGGCATAGAGCCGATGGAGACGGATGAGCCGCCGCTGAATGAAGCGATCTCGGAAAGCGTGGCTGCGGTCATAGCCACCATCGCAGAAGCCAGCAGCAAGGCAGCAGAAGAGGCGAATGTGATCTCAGCAGCAGCGGCAGCCAATGCTGTCTCCACTGTCACAGTGGCGGCCATTGAAGTTGTCGGCGCTGGCGCCGCCAACGACGAAACGTAGCCTATACTAAAGCAGCTACTGATGCATCGCCAACTGACGCTGGAGCCGCCGCCCGAGCTGCCCCAGCCGGCCCAGCAGCAACCGCCGCCGCATTGACATGCCTCGTATACGAAAAACAGATAGACCCCGACCCCCTGAAACATTCTCAAGCTCGTTGCAATCGTTCGAACCGTAGTTTATCCCTTAGTTAACTTAACCTATGACATGATATTAAGCTTAAGAGGCCGCCAAGATCTGAGTGGGCCACAAGTCACTCACCGAAACACCATTTTAAACATCGTACCATCGTAGACTGCATAGACTTGCTTAGAAAAAACCAGAGACAGGGATAAGTTCTGTATTTAAAATGTATTTGTAAACCTTGGTTCTTCAAACCACAAGAATCCCGATCTATGAAGAGCAGAAACAACAAATCTGATGGTTTGTGCAATATTTGAAAAAAGAGGGATTTATAAACGATTTATTATGATGATTATATGTAGCAATGACTATCGCGCTTGTATTAAACTATTTACGACTGCTGATCTCCTTTTAATTTGTAATTAAACGTTTAATTTAGAAAATAGAGCCTAGAAGCAACCCCACCCCTCCTAGGCGAAGCACGAAGGACAAATTGTAATAATATACAAACAGCGGAACGCAATACTCTACTCGCATTAGAAACTCAATCATTTTATTGTCTTGCGGCCTATTCCTACTCGTATTCGACAACAAGTATTATTTATGTTTTAAGCATTAGCAAATTGATTTTAATTATACAATATCGAATTTTATGTCTCCGATTTGATTGGTCTATGAACGAGCTCGGGCTCGCACTCGAACCCGAGCCCTCTTACGTTTTAGTGCAATATTTTTGTTTAATTATCATTTCCATCCCTTTCCCTTTCTGTCAAAGGTGTTTGGTGGTTCTTTTTTCGTTTTGTGTTCTTTTGATTTTATGTTTTTTCGTTACTTCTTTTCCTTTTCTCTCTACCTATTGCAGAAACCTCTTACTCCTGCTCTTCATACAACCACAAAAGCACCAACAGCAACCACCTCCACACGACCAGCGAAGGCCCCAAGCCCAGTGTCAGTGCCAGTGCCACTATGGTTATTGCCGCAGCCACTGCCACTGCCGCCAAGAGGCCCACAGCAGCCGCTTCCTTCAGGCCATCGGCAGGCCCCAGCAGCGCCACCTCCAGCCGGAGCAGTAGCAGCAGCGGGAGTGGAAGTGGAAGCGGGAGTGGGATGACGCCCATGCAGATCTCGCCCACCTTTATTGAGCACAAGTATTCGTCAATAGACATCAAAGAGAAGTTCTTGTCCACCCTGCGAGCGGCCACGGCCGACAGCGTTGCCTCGTCGGCCTCGGCGTCGGCGTCTCCCAAGGCGCCCGATGTGGTGGCACCTGTGGGAGCAGGCGGTGGCCTGCGGGGCGTTGCTGTGGGCCAAATGTGCGCGCTGCAGAACGAGCACATACATCAAAATCTCTTCAAGAAAACCATCAATTGAGATGCTGGAGTGCGGAGAGCGGAGAGCGGACTGAGCTGAGCGCCGCGTAGAGTTGGCTGTGATGAAGTAGTAACTAAAAACTGACTAACAAACCGAACCGAACCGAATGGAAAGAATGGCAGAGCAAGAGGATTCGTCAATGAGGTCGATGAGGGAGTTGAGGTGGAGGACCAAGAGATGGAGGATGCAGAGGTAGAGATAGAGGGAGAGTGAAAGAAATTATTATGAACGCTGCACCGCAAACAAAATCATAAGAAAACTTTTCCACTTGGCAAAGAAAACAAAAAGGAAAGAGCCCACAAATACGAGAGTATCTTTAAAACGAAAGAAAATTCCATGCTTTTCGCAGATAAACACACACACACAAATTACACTAATCTCAAAAATTTTAACAAGGAAATTGTACATAAAATTGGCCACCTAAGAAATGCTTCTTCTAAACTGCATTAGAAAATTCTTACAAAAAAGTTCTTACAACAAAGAAAAGAAAAAAAAAACTGAGAATTGTACACACAAAATTTAGAAAATACATTTGAAGATCCTTCTTCAACTAGTCATTATTGTAGTTAAATTAATTCTTTGATTTCATGCATGCATCAAGAACCTAAAAACACGACAAAAAAAAAAAAAAAAAAAAAACAATGCGCACCAACTGTCTGGGAAACAAAATCCTCTGAACTACATGAAGGAATATATCTAAGAGGAGGGCCAGGGCGTGAGAGTGTTGGCCCATACCATCTAGTTTTACCAATTGGCTAACGAATACCGTCGCTTACTAGGAAAATTCCACATCGCGAAGCCCTGAACTTGCCAAGATCCTTGTGACTCTTTGTGCGAGCCAATGGAACGATTCAAGATGGAGAATGTCGAATATTTCAAACAGAAATTAGTTAGCTACAAATTTAGGGGAACCCAACGAGCCCCGAGCCCACGAGCCATCACGCGTCTGGTGATGGCAACCGTTTCCGCTTAGGAGCCACAATAACTCTACAGTAGTTATAGTATTATAATTATAGATAACGCTATGGATTCTTATACGATTATATATATATATGTGTGTGTGTGTAAAGATTGTAAATGTATACCTAATTTATAAATTATAATTGTAGCTTTTTGTGAGTGCGTTTCCGTGCATGTATTGTAATTGTAATTGTAATTCTTGTATAGCTATAGATTTTGAACGTCCCTACAATAGATCTACGATATATACGATTATATAAAGATATGTGTGTGTGCGCGTGAAATATATGTATATTGTAACGTCGATTTGATGTGAATTATTTCATTGTCAAGCGGCGGAGGAGGAGAAGAAGAAGTATTGCATGCATGCCTACAAAATTCAATCGAACTTCCTAGCCTGTGCATCGGGCATCCCTAAGAACTCAAAACAGATCAAAAAAACAAAAACAAAAACAAAATGGAATGACATTTTTAACATAAATTTACATCAATCGTACATTGAGATAAAACTCAATTTAGTCAGCCGCCAAAACAAATTTTTCAGAGCGCATTTCGCAGACGCGCAGCGTCTTAAAAAAAAACATACTAAATAGTTCTGCGTCCCTAATAGATACTAAAGAAAAAGGAATCACACACACATGGGTAGCCACAGATACAGATACACATACATACATCTATATACAATATACAATATCTTTAAGAACTCACGCTTAAGCGGCGACTCCCAACGGAGCGCCCTAGTTTAGCCAAACGTCTTTTATATAGAACGGAAAAGGAAATGTGAGCAGAAACGGAACGGAAAGGTGTCTTCGGCACACCGAAGCGCGGAGTGTCCCGGCAGCGTGTGCCATTCCCTGCCGGGGCACGCTCCCTAACGTTCGGACAGCGGATAAATCAACTCAAAACCCTCTAATGAATACAATAAATGGAATATGTATATTTCTTTATATATATATATATATATATACTATATACTATACACATATACTTCTATATGTTTAAGTGTATGTCATCTTATATAAGACTGCTGTTATGTTCGTAAATATATTTAATATATGTATGTAAAATTAACGAAAAAACAAAACAAAACAAAACCACACGCAAACGCAAAACAAAAAAAAACCAACCTACGATAAATCAGAAATAACTATTCAGAAATACATAATAATAATAATAAAAATACAAATAACGAAGAAACGCAAAATAAATGAATAGATAATGTATTCATACTCTACCTATATACTATATAATTGTATTGTAATTGTAATTTACTAAAATCGTAATTATATGTAGAGAATTAACTGAAGCCTAATGATAAACAACCATCGACATCCAGCATACAAGCAACTAATCCCGTGCGTACCCTGCAGAATTTGCGCACCGCAGAATTTCGACGAACGTAGTCCTTCTCTGAAGACGCATCATCATTACCGAGTATCATTATCATCAACCACAAAACAAAAAAACATCAAAATGTAGTAAAATATTCTCTTTTTGCTTTATGTGATCTATTACATACATATACATACAACCACATATACATATGTATAATAAAAATGTCCTTGATAACGAATCTTAATTGAAACATTTGTGGATTGGCTTTGAAATGGGAGAAAAGGAATGATTTAAGTGGTCACTTGGGAACTGGTTTAGTTAGTCGCGCGTCATACGGCAACCCCCATCGGCCGGTTGGGCGGGACGATGCCAGCCTTCTGCTGGTGTCGCATGGCCACTTGATGGTGCATTCATTGCATATCAACGTCCAAATATTATTATAAAGAAATACTTGGTTAGTTTTTAACCGAAAGATAAAGGGGATATCCATCCGAGTAATCACACAATTCTCTTGGCATGCGTGCACATAAAATGGTAATTGTTTATTAAAAGCAAGCTGTATTCATTTTATACCTAGGAATGTTGCCGCTACTTTCGTGTCTCCAGCAGTGAAATGCAGTTGCATGTCTTGGCTAGCAAGTTGCCATCATTGACAATGTTCTCTTTCTTCTGCAGTTCGTAGAGGCTATGCAGATCCCGCTGCTCGAAGGCGCAGTCGATGGCCTCCTCGAAATAGCTAAAGGAGATTAAAGGTATACAATATAAGATCTTTTAGTGCATGGTAATGGTAAGAACTCACTTTGCTCGAGTAAACCAAAGAACCTTGCGGTTCTCGCGACATCGTGGGATGTATTTGCGCGCTTCCCTGGCATTGCCGGGCTTCAAACAGACCTCAACGAAGGGCTCATAGCCAATGGGGCTCTTTTTGCTCTTGGAGAACTTCTCCAGTTCGTCCCACTTCTGCTGCTCGGCGAGGGTGAGTATGCGCAGCCACCAGAAGCGACGATCGGGCACCTTGTAGTCGTTCCGTATCTTCTCCGCCTCCTTCAGCTCACCCAACAGCAGCAGTTGCTCGATGGTGTCGTGCACGGACAGGCCGTTAAGGCTGGCATTGTACTTGGCGCTCAGCGTCTTCTGCAGCTTGAAAAGCCGGCTCGTGTCGGCACAGAGCTCCGCCTCGACAGTGCATCGCGCCTGGGTGTAGGCGTTTCCAATCACCGACAGATTCGACTCCAGGTCCTTGTTCTCGATGGCATTATTAAAGTGATACTCTGCGATGGCCTTCTGGTCGTCCTCTGTGTTGTATATGCCATAGAGACCCGCACGGTTCGACTCCCGCATGATTTTCTTGTACATGTTCAACGCCAGCGGATGATCGCGGATTGTCATCTGTGGGGTACCATTGCCATCATTAGTACTTCCCTCAGAAAGGAAATCTATGCAACATCTGTGCTGTAGTTTCATATCTCCATAGCAGCACGGATCTACATCGACTAACCTTCTCGAGTTCTCTGCTATAATCAACCGAGGTTCTAAAACTCTGCCAATTCACAAGCTGTCTTTATTAGGTTTCCCAACTAAACTGGATTTCGTCTTATCTGTCTAACCTTGTAAACTAAGGAATGCCAGTGGGAAGTCATTTGCATCCGGCCTATCTTTATTATTAACGAAGCTAAAAGAAATGCGTGCGAGAACTAAAATCACACAAGCACTCAGCTAGTGCTCGAGCTTCTCTACTCTTCAACGCTTTTCAACGCCTCTGGTAGAATCCAAAACCACCTTACCGATCTAGGCTAAAACTCATAGATCTACCATCGTAGAATATGTAATAGAGTAATGGTACAAGCTTTTTATCGGTACTGTGGTCTCCCAAACTATTTTGCGTTTTCGTTTAGAGCTTTTCGTATTTTCCGGCCTGTACGCTGGCCCTGTGCTATGCATGATGCTATGCAGACCCTTAAGAGTTCTATGTAATATTTACAATACC